ATAGTATAGTCATCTAACTCCTTGTCTGCTTAAGTCTTATGTCTGTAGTCAAGACATCTGCTTGTTTTGCTGTTTCTGACTCGGGAGCTGAGCTCATTGATGCTGTTCTTGATGTTGTGAGAAAGGAGGCAGAGAACTGTGATTTGTCCCAAGCGCTGGTGCTGGGTTCCTTTGAACCCAGTAGGGAGGGGAAGGAGAAAAGGAAAGAGAAGGAGAAAATTTTTTTTTTTATTTATTAAATTATATATTTGGTGCCAAGTCACAATATTTTGAAGTTCGAGGTAAATTTAGTTGAAAAATGAAAGTTAAGGGACTGAATCGAGGATTTAACTTTTTTTTTTAAAACTTTTAATCAACAGTGGGACCCACAAAAAAATTGGCAACAAGTAGACTTCCCGCTTGTGGGGTTCCAAGTTGGCATGCCAGGTTGTCAAAAAATTCTGAGTTGGTGCTGACATGCGCATACTTGACGGAAGCCAACGGTGCACGTGTTACACGTGACGTTCCGGCGTTAAATTTTGCCTCATTTCCTCAACTCGAAAACGTTGAGGGTAAAAATTTATGTATTGTAATATGGAGGGCAAAAACCTTATAAGTCGAAAAGTTCAGGGGCAAAATGGTACCTTTTGCCGGTTATACAGATTCTACAGATTCTAGTGCAGCTAAACATCTCCACTTGTTGAACTCCGTTAAGTGTTCTGATGAACTGAGCGTTTCATCGGAATCGATGAATTGTTCATTAAATTTAAAAATTAAATTTTTAATTATTAATATCTAACAGTACTAACCTACTAACTATTACTTTTATAAAAAAAAAAAAAAAAAAACATCTCCATGTGTTTTTCTTTTAGATTTTTTTAGTTTTATTTTTTCATGATAATTATTTTTTGGGTTTGTCTCACCAGACCTTGTGGAAAAAAATCATAGAGTTTGATTATTATTTTTTTATTAATATCTCAATATTTAATAATTATATTAAATTTAATTAATTTAAAATCAAATTATATCAAATCTTATATAGTAAATACTTTTACAGTGTTTTTTTTTTATTTATAAATTTTGAACTCAAAAATTTATTTAAAAAAATCAAATTCTTTCCACTAAAATTAATAATTTATTAATTGATTATTATTTTTTTTAGTGATCAAAGTGTTTTAATTCAATTTGTGTCATATGATAAAAATAAATTATCTATGTTAAAATTCAAAAATTTATAAAAAAAATTAATTCTCCATTAACTTTTTAAAAATAAAATCACAATTAATAAAATAATAAATATATTTTTTACCAACTAAATCATAATTTATTCAGTTAATTACTAATTTAATAATACTGATATTGGGATTGCAAGATTGTCAAATGGGGAAAAAGTCAACAACAGAGGGGAGAGAAAACAAAGGAAAACACATTCTTAAGTCATAATTAGGGCCGCACGTGAGAGGGAAGTGAGGGTCCCACATGGATGGGAATAGTTAAAGTTCATTAATGAATCCACGTGTGGTCGACGTCAGCCCAGCGTTGCACACTTGCATTGCATGTGTTACGGCGTGTCGACGACCGAGCTGCTTGTTTTGCTTAGCCTCCTCTCCTCCCCTTAACTCTCCTTTGACTGCGGTTTCCTCGGCTGCTCTGTTCCTTAGCTTTCATCTCTTTTATTTATTTATTTTTTATCTTAAATGTTCAATGATAGACAGTTATCTATTATCTTTTATTTTATCCTACTCACATGTTATACTACTTGAATTTAAAATTTTTTATTTTTAACAAAAAAAAAATAACTACGAAATTATTTAAATCGTTGACTTGATTTCTTTTAATTATTTAAAGTTTGTGAGGCATGCACCGACAGATGAGAGAAGACCGGAAACACACAAGCATACTTGGCGACCAGATCCCTCGTTGGATCATGCGAATTCCTCAAACCGTTTCTTCTACGTAGCTTCACTGTCTTTCTTTCATTACCAACACGTTCCCAACCTGATCACTATGTCCATGTGTTATCCCCCCAATATATTTAAGAGTCCCTAAAATTTGAAGAAATCGATCGTCCATTTGTACACAATCATGAATCATTACAATACAATGAAATATATATATATATATTACAGTAAATTTTTTTTTAGAAAAAACGATTGAGAAGTAATTTTTTATATAACTTTTTAATATAATTTTATATATTATTTAATAATTATTTTTTTATTTTATTAAGATTTATAATATTATAAATATCCATCAATGTTCATAAAAAAATAATTATAAGACACTCATAAGCTAATTTTGCTAATTTAATCAGAGACATTATATCCATCTAACCTTAAAAAAAAAAAAAAAAGAAAGACAGTCATGCACGAAAAAACAATCGGTCAAGGGGAGACAAAGCCTTTTCCAAAACATTGTTTTTATTCAGAATTTGAGGCGAACACTTTGTTTTCAGTTCCTACTTTCCATCCTTTGTGCCACAGTTTTCTACCTTGGAGATAACCAAAACCTATATTTTATTACAATATTGTTGGTGCTAACCCTTGTAGGGCGGCACAACCCACCTTGCATGCATCCATCTCGATATCGTTTTCTTTCTTCTTCTCCCCCACCCCCCGTTTTTTACGTTGTCTTTATTTTGGCTTTTGAGTTCGTCATGTTGGAAATTTTTATTTGGACTTTGTTAATTGTATTTGATTTTTAAAATTAGGTTAAATAAAAAATTGATAAAACTCAATAAAGTTATGTGATCCAAGTGAGTTTAGGTCTTATTTTAATATTATATAATATGATATGAATAGATGTAAGATTTGAAATTAAATATGGACTATTTGATAAGATGCCTAAAAGTTATTATAATGAGTTAAGTCCTTCCTCATTCAAAAAATCTCATCTCTATAAATAGTATAGTTAAAGAATGGCATAATCTATTAGTTATCACCATACAAAAGTTGAATAGAAAAAGAAAAACCTAAATCTTAGTGCTAACTATATTTATTTTGTAGATTTTATCATAAAATCTTTAATTATGATGATTCTTAAAAACCCTTTAAAATTTTTAAATAATATATTAATTATAAAAATTTAAATATATAATTTATTTATTTTATTAGATCTTGATATTTTAAATTCTACGATTTTTAAAATTTCAACACGTTAAGGAATTGTCAGTTACGAAATGGAAAATAAACACAGGAGAAAAAGGGGAAATGGTGTTGGTTGGATTGAAAGATCCAAGTCACGGGAAAATAAGGCGGCCTACACGAGCACACGAGACACCAACGACATCAACATTCAATGATCCTTTCCTTTCTCTGTCTCCATATCTCTCTTTTGAATTTTCTACACTTGAATTTTCGCTTTCCAACCCTGTGACAACTAAAGTGAAATGGAGGAAGTACCTAATATGAAGCAAACTCATCGAGTGAAAAGATAACTCAAATGCACTATCATGGTAGTATAGTGAAATTTTGCTATAAGATAAAATTATATATGTATTTTTATGACAAAAAAAAAAAGGATTACTGTATAGTTTTGCTTATACATACATACATATATATATATATATATATACAATTTAAACTTCTTGATAGGAATGGTTCATGATATTAAAAATTATTTTTTATCTAATAATTTTTCTTTTACAATATAATAAAATTGATATACAAACACAAATAACTCTCGTTATAATTAATGAATTATATATGTTATATGACCATTCGCCAACCAAACATGATGTTATATTATAACTAGAAAGGACAACCTAACTTCTTCTTTTTTTTCCTTTTTAAGCGTTAAGCTCTTGTTGCCTTATTATCACGTGTTAGGTTGAAAACAGGATTAATTTAGTTTGGAAAAGAGTGTGTGTGTGTGTGTGTGTTTTTTCTTATGTGTAAGTGGGATTATGTGCTTGTGCAGTTTTGCTTACTCTTTTCAACGTGGAGGGTTTTGGTGTGGAAACGGAGCCACCACGGTTAATTGAATGTCCATTAGTAGAGTCAATTCAATGCAGAGAACTCTTCCATGTCGGGAAACAGCCGCTGCTTTTCTACTATCTAGCTTCCTTAAAGACTTTTAGGATTAAGGGGTTTTTGGTTTTGAAGTAACTAGTTAATACCCCAAGCAATGCCCGGGCCCTTGAAATTAAAAAAATAAAATAAAATTTTAATATTAAAAGGAAATTAGTAGTGAAAGGATATATCATTACTTAAAAGAAAAATATAATAGTGAGTTCTAGGGAATTTAATCCCAATTATGTCAATCCCACAATATATGCATATTTAACTGCTTGGGGATACAATAAAAAACAACAAAATACTCGCGATGTTGTGTCTTATTATAGCCATAGTAACTGTTGCCATATATGATTCACGAATAACATGGACGACACAACCTCAATGTAAGGAATCTGTCATAGGAGGTTTCTGCAATCAAAATTCAACTTGAAGAAATAAGAATTGTCTCATGTTACATAACACAATATCAAATATGTTTTGCAAGAATACATTTACAAAAAACAATGGAAACTAAATAAATACCTCAAAAGTATATTGTAATGAAGTTCACCCACAATGAGGCCAGTGAAGCATAGCAATTAAACTGACAACAAAAGTTATGAAGCCTATAGTAAAGCTCAAATAAAAGGACAGTTAAGTAGGTA